TCAGTAGACATATTCAATGTATAGGAATGTGAGGAACAATCATTTTAAGCTTGTACACAATGTTTACCTGTATCTATGACAATTGTCCTGTCCGCGGACAGGATACTGCTTCCAGTATCTGCTGTTGCTACTACTGTTGCTACTGACTTCTTAAGGTGGCTGGCAACGATTTCAGCACTTTTCAACATTTGACGGATCAATTCTACCACTCTTTATCAAGTGATATTACAATACTGTATAACACAAATGCCCAGTCATGGTGAACAAATTGGGTCATCTTCACTGCACAACACGTTACATAATAACAGAACAGCTGGTTAAAACCTAACCTGCAGAACAGGCGTAATTTTTTTGCGTATTTTAGGCGAACAGAGGCGAAAGCGAGGCGAGCGCGAGGGAAAGAGCGCGAAAAAAAATATTATTTCGCCTATGTTCGCCTAAAATACGCAAAAAACTTACACCTGTTCTGCAGGCTAGTTAAAACCACCCTGCCGGTGCCGGAAACTATTTCAGCCACTTGAACTAACTGGTTGTAAGCGGTATACTTTAATTTGATAGCAAGATAGCAGGTGAAGCCTAGCTTATTTCTAAATTGAATTCCGCGTGCATTTTTAGCGGAGAGAGGGATATTGCGTTACTGTAGTTCGCTTTTGAACTTTTAAAATTTTCTTAACGTGACTTAACGTTGTAGTAACCTTTTTTCATTTTACTTTAAGGATGAGGAATCGCTGGGATATTTGAAAGGTAAATTTCCTCAGTCCCCCATCATGTTTGTGTGCAACAAAGTTGACATTACAAAAGAAGCAAACGAGTTTGACAACAGCGATGATGATGACGACGACGAAGATGATGATAAAAAAGCTGAAGGGGCTCATGACAAAGGGAAGATTGCTTTCAATCAGTTGAAAGAGCGAAACTTTCTCTCGGGGGAGTCTTGGCAAAAGTGCGATTTATTCCACCCCATTTCAGCCAAAACAGTTCGTGATGAACGCCTGAAGAAGAAAGAAAAAGAGGCCACCGAGAGATTTCAGCGATTTCAAACCCATCTTCAGAGTCTTCTTGGAAAGGTTATGAGAACCCAAACCAGCAGAGTGGTGCAAACTCTTTTGCTCCTTCAAGAAAGTTTTGTCAACGTTGTCCAGGTTCAGAGAACGCATATTACCCAGCAGGCATCTGTCATACCAGACATTGTAAGAAAAGCCAACGAGATAGAGACAAAACTGTTTTTGTCGTTGAAATCTGTGGAGTTGAATTCTGAAGACTCGAAAGAGGAAATCGTAGAGCAGATAAACAACTTGAAAAGTGAATTTGTCCATGAAGCTGAGGAGTACAAAGCTGCAAACGAGCGACTTCTTAAACGCGAGTATCAAACAATGGTTAAGACTGACCTTCCTGCACTTTCAGCAGAACTACTTTTGCTAAATGCTAACAAGACTATTGTTCTTGAGCGATTTCTCAGTGATATGAAAGGCAGCATTTTAGAGAGAACCTGCAATGCCCTTGACACCTTAGTTCAAACAATGATGAGTGACTGCGTGGGTGAGCTCACCCAGGCTATCATTGAGTTCAATGAATGTCTTTCACATCCGATTGTCTCTCGAATTTTGGAAGAAAGTTGTGGCGTGCAATTTGTGGTTGCCAAGGCTGAAACCGACCGGTTGCTTCACATTATGCTGGACGGAATTCTTGACTCCGTGAAGGAGGCTGCTAATATCGCTTTGAGAAGAGAAATCTCAGTACCTCTTTGTTCCAGGCAGATGTCAACGTATACCAGGGAAAATGTCCACAACAAAGCAAATAGGCGATCCATTGTGGAATCTCTTCTTGAAACAATTAACGAGGAGAAGGTTGCAGAGGCAGTTCTCGAAGCCTGTCGCGATCGTCTGCAAAGGATGCTCGACACTTTCCAGGCAACCACGCAGTTTGTCGCCTCTTTACAAAAGGCCTTTGAAGATTGCCAAATGACTTCACAGCTTGAAGTATTTCGGATGCATTTCACTCCACAGATACGGACGTTGGCTGTCGAGGGAATGGCCTTGAAATATTTCCAGAACCGAGGACCTGTGGAGCTTGGTTCACCTATTGCACAAACCCGGCATGGCGTCATCTATGAATGCACTAGCGAACGTTGGTGCAGAGCTTCGCCTTCTGGCCAGTGTGTGGTGAAAGTCCTTGCCAAGAAAGATGTTGGTGTGAGTGCCTGGAACCAGACCGCTGTGGATTTAGTCAACATGATGTAAGTTATACAAAAAAGGAAAATATTCAACTGCTCGTTTTTATATGCAAACCAAGTAGCAAAGACGTATTTTGGTACGAGAATAAAGCTCTAATGAGATACGTGGCGCCCGGGTCAAAACAGGCTTCGCACTTTGATCCATTTTGAACAAAACTATTCTGCGACCATTTTTGTGATGCTCAATGATCAACATTTTGTTCAACGCGGTGGTGCCACGGTCTAG